ACATTTACAAGTATGTACTGTATTTACAGTACAGTACATGCATTCGTAAATTTAGATTACTTTTTTCTGTACTCTATTAAAAACTAAAATTTATTTGTTTGTAAGCTTAAAATAGATTCTTATTAACCATATATTATTAAAAATGCATTAATAAATAAAATACAGAACTGGGAATAGTAATTTATGGTTTAGCCTAGTGACAAGTAGATTCGGAGACAAGTAAATTCGACTTACGTCGTTTTTCGACTTAAGTCGTTTTCCTGGAACCAATTACCGACGTAAGGCGAGGTATACCTGTATAGTATGATTAAAAAACCAAATTTTAAAATTGGTTTTATTAATTTGTTAGAAATTTGATTAAGCAATTATTATTCAAGTTTATCATTTACATTATGTTTCACAACAAACAAGAGGAATAAAAGTTGAAAATTTAATAGACATAAGGTAAAGTTTTCTGATAAGTGATCTTCAGGATATTCTGTAATTCAGGGTTAAAATGAGGTTGACTAGTAATGGCAAGGGAAATACTTTTGCACAAATTAGAATATAAAAAAATTATAATTACTAAAGAAATATATATTTTTTTTAATTATCGATTTGTGCAAATTTCCTTATTTATACTGCTAAAATTGTGTTAAGAACAAATATAAATTAATAAATGAATGGAAAAAATATTTAGTTAGTTAAAAATTTACACATTCAAATTGAGACAAAAGAAGATACAGGTATCCGTTGATTAATACAATTAATCCATCTCTCAATGTTGCTGCTTATATCAAAATTGCATTAATGAATTGTAATAATGAAAAATTGTAATTTGTCCATGATTGTTTACTATATTAATAAATTTGCTTCTATGGTCTGTAATCTTAGGAAAAATAGAAAATGAATGCGAAGTATAATAAATGCTTAATAAATTCTTATTTCTGTATTAGTTACTATACCTAGAGAAAAATTTAAAGTGTTTTCTTATCAGCATAAATTCTATAACAAGGAAAATGGCGAGACCTTGGCAAACTAACATGCTCCAATCAATGGACTAAAATTTACATTTGTAAATACAATAAAACAATTGAAGCTTTTACTACACCCATTTTTAATGCTGGCAGCAAAGTAACTGACAGGCTTGCAGGCACTTGGAATGTGGCTATGTGGGAGGAATGATGTCATGTTTACGACTTTCAGCCAGAAAGCACTCAACAGATTTCATGATGTTTTTGCATGGTAAATTTATAGTGCTAACACTATGCCAAAATAGCCAATCTTAATAACCACTTATTAGTTCATTATGAAAAATTAATTTAAATTTAATTATTTTCAAGAAAAAAATTAAATACAATAAAATGCAAAAAATAATTTGATGAATGACAAAATAAATTAATCCATAAAATAGTTTCTCCCAATCCGGCTACAATGGCAATAGTTAATTTCCTACTGATGGTTGACTAAAATCGATAAATAATAAGCTGAAACAATCCTTAATTACATTTTGCAGTTTTCTCTTCCTCTCTTGGTTTGTTGAAGTTAGATTCTGATCTGTTTTACTTTTTTCATTGTTTTTCTATTGACTGTTTTAAGACCCAATTATGTTATAAAAGCTATAATAAATAGTCATAAATAACTTGAAACCAACAGGAGGACAGTGAAAAATTTAGTCAAATTAGTCAAAAACAACTGCTATCCAAAGTAAAACATCTAAGATATAAAAAATATTGCTTTAAATATAAATTATGGTACCCAAAATGAAAGTCAAATTTTTTCTTGGGAGCTTCTCTAGTAAAGATAAACTTGGCATTTCAAAGCAATACCATAAATGTTTACTTTCCAGGCACAATCCTGCAACTAATAAATGTTCAGTGGATTTATCCATCTGGCCACTGATGGGGCTTAAATTAATAAAAGCTATTTTCTGAAAGTATAGAGGAGGGTTGTCCAACCTTTTTTCCAAAGGGACCAAATTAGAAATTTATATATAAAATTACAAAAAGTACTGTTTTTGTCAGTCAAAAAAAATTATATACCCATAAAATAAAAATAAATTAAATGAGATTTTTGACATTGCTTTCCTTTTATAATACAGGTATACCTCACCTTACGTCGGTAACTGGTTCCAGGAGATGCAAGTCGAATTTACTTGTCTCCAAATCTACTTGTCACTAGGCTAAACCATAAATTACCATTCCCGGTTCCGTATTTTATTTATTAATTCATTTTTAATAATATATGGTTAATAAGGATCTATTTTAAACTTACAAACAAATAAATTTTAGTTTTTAATATAGTATAGAAAAAAGTAATCTAAATTTACGAATACATGTATTGTAAATACAGTACATACTTGTAAATGTATATATTTTAATATGATTTTGTGCTTTAAACACTTTTCTAGTGATATTACGACTTCAATATTTGTGGCGGACAGANCCACAGGAGTGTTGTGTTTGGCGACGAAAGCCCGAATCAGATGCGCAGAATGGGCGGATGTGTTATCATGGTGGAGCTGCCAAGTTTTGATCGTCCACAGATCCGGTGGTTTGCATCGCACAGCATCGGAATGACGCCGAAGGACCTCCTGGTAGTACTCCTTTGCGATGGTTTGGCCTTGTGGTGCGTACACACGATACACTAACCCACGGGAGTCGAAAAAACTGTCAACATGACCTTGATATTGCCGCAGACCCGACGCGCTTTTTTTGGCCTCGAGGATCATCTCCGAAAGCCTGCTGAATCTTGCGAATGGTTTACACTTAGGTATCGCCAAGGTTTTTGGCAAAATTTGATGTAATATCACTGCTCACGTTGTTCAGTCATTTTCCAACTTAGTGAAATCCGACAAGAGCTCGCTACATGTCCTCACTCATAGGCCGACTGCCAATGACTGACATTTCCTGCAGGCGGAAAAAAATTCAGGGCTGTGCATGACTGTCCCCTCCACAACTCCACCGAAAGAGGCCTCCCGCGCATCATTGGTTTACGCGGAAAAAATAAAAGTCCGATACTTTTTGAACAGTCCTTGTACATGGTTCACAAAAATTATTTGCAAAATGCAAAAAATTTCACTCATGCATAAAGGACAACCTAGGAATTTGAAGCTTTGATAAATGAATAAAAACCTCATCTTATATGCGAGTAAATACAGTATTTGATTTTATTTATTGTTATATAACTAATAGTTTCCTACAAAAAACTTAATATTAAAGTTATATAACAATACTGTTAAGCATATCCAATTAGTAATAAGACCAGTTATTTTTATGCAGTTATTGTAGAATAGGATTGCATCATTAACAGATTTACTAAACAAAAAAATTAAATAATTGACTTAAAACTAGTAAATTCTTATAATAAACATACCTCTAAGAAGGCAGGTACAGTTGCATCAGTAGGGCGGTCCATAATCAGGAACCGCATATTTTTGTAGGTTATCTCGGACGGTGCTGGACGCATTGTCTTCTGTTTCATTGTTGTCATTCCTTGTATAAAGCAAACAGCAATTAAGATGGTCAGTCAACCACCAAAGATTAATATCCCTGAAGTAAACTTATTTAATCTTTATAGTTAATTTCACTGCTGAAAAAAAGTTAACTGAGCAATTCCTTCTCGTTTGTAGATATGCTTCTTGCCAGTGAAAGAAATAAATAAGGTACACCTTTCTTCTGTCTTACTGTTTTCTTTACACCAACCTTTAGACACCAAGTTGATGCCAAACAAACTAATGCCAAAAGTATAGTGTAATTTACCCCATATGGATAATATGAAGAATGTGTCAAAATGGCAGGACAGTTAGCCAGGATGATATACTATGTACACTCACAGATAGTTTATTTGTGCTGTGCCCTGCAGTATTCTCCAGTTGTTTTCAAATATTCCATCAAAGAGAATAGTATTTTTTCTGTAAACTGTAAAAAGTAAATTTCATAAGTTTTTCATATTTAAATTTAAAATCTTATAAATACAATTAATAAACTTATCACACATTACTTGTAAGGTGCGTCCTATAAATATAGGTCCACCTAGAAAAATTAAGCTTTTAAAAAACTGCTTAAAGAAATGAAGTAATTGTTAACATAATCATCATATAGCAATTACACTTCAACAAAAATATTTAAAAATTGAAAAATTACTGTGTAAATTATTTATTAAATTTTAATGTCCCATAAATATAGGTCCAGTATGAAAAAAACAGTAAAACAAAAAATTTCCTAATGCTCAATATAACCTCCATGAACCAAAATCAAATTATTTACACAATTAGGTATTAATCTGAATTAAAGTTTGCAGGTGTTTTTCTTAAATTTCCTCTCACTTAGCTACCATTCTTTAGTTCCTGTACTGTGGAGTATTGTTTGCCTCCTGCACACACAGCTCTAGCAAGCATTTCCCACAGGTTCTCAATGGGATTTAAGTCAGGACTGCAAGGTAGCCAAACCAAAACTTGCACTCCATTACTCAAAAATCCTTCCTAGATGGACTTTGTATTGTGTATTGAGGCATTGTCCTGTTGATATATCCATTTTTGGCCTTTTATTTTCTCTGCAAATGGTAGGAGATATCTCCAATATTTCTTGATAGTCATTTGCATTCATTCTGCCCTGTATGAATGCCACATTAGACTTTCTATTCCATCTGAATGATGCCCATATCACAGAACTGCCGCCTTGTTGATGCCTTGAATATATTTCTTCTTCCTGTCTTAAATTGTGCTAATACCACCACTATGTCTTTTTATATCCAAATTAAACTTTTTTCATCACTCCATATAATTCTCTTTCATTTGTCTTTCCAATCCATCCTTTCCTTGGTCGATTACAACCTCTTTCACTTGTGTGCACTTCTTAAGGCAGGGATGTGTGTATGCTTTTCTTGTAGAGAAATTGGCCTGAATTTTTTATAAATCTGGAAACTGTTGATTTGGATACCAGAATATCAAGTCTTACAGCAATCTGATGTATAGATGATGAATTATTACCAATTTCTTTTAAAACAGAACATTTTGTTCATAGAGTTACTTATGAAGACCGTTCTTTGGAGCATTTTATCTCCTAGATGTATGAAACTGTTAATTAAATTACTAAATCTTTTCAGTTTTATTACAATTTGTTTACTTGATAGTCCAGATTCCTTCCAGGCCATAATTAGTCCCTTTTTTATGTTTAAGTCCCTTGGCATGTGCAAAGTCACAACATATCAATGTTAATTAATCAGTTTCAAATTATGCTGCCATTTGCAATTTGGTACGTAAGTCTCTGGTAGGGTTTCTCAAATGGGATCTTGGGATCCTGGCTGTTTAAATTTTTTAACCTGGGAAATTCTTCTCAACCCGGGAAATCCTGCAAATTTCTTAAAAGTTCACTTTTTTCTTTTTTTGTGTTAAGGTTAAGGAAATTTTGCAGAGAAAAAGTATAATTAACTGTCAGAGTACATTTGTATTTATTAATTTTAAGCCTGCTTATTAGTTTAAATTTTTGCTTGTTATAACATCTCACAGATTGTCAATAATCAATATGTATTTGTGGCAGGATTCTAAAAATTCTTTACTTGTCAGAACCTGTAATATCTTGAATAATTGCGCCAATGCTGACTTAATTTTAAATATGCCCAGCAGCTGCAATAATTGTATTATGCCAGGTTGTACAAATTGGTCAAGGATACAAATGAGTGCAAAGTTTGCAAGTATGAAGTTTTTCTTCATAAACCTGATTATTAAAGCCAAACAAACTGCCAAATTATCGGGCTATAAGTTTGATACCACTTTTAAAGCAGTCAAGGTAGACAAATCAAGAATACTTGAGAGCAAAAGAAGTACTGCAACGCATCTCAAAAACAAACTAGAAATCTTTGACACTATGGGTATAAAAACACGCAACGTTTGTCTTCTCTTAAATGCATTAAAGACAATTAAACCCACATCCATTGAATTGGAAAGGGCATTTTAACCATGTTCGATTTTCACAATCTTATAAAAATTTACAATAATATTTTGTATTGTGTTTTATTTAAATATTGAAAATTACCTTCTAACTTAGAAGTTTGATCTAAGTTCATTTTATTCTTTAAACTTTTAATTCAATTCAAAGGCATTCATTTTTGTTGCTGTTGTATGTAGTTTTCAGCAAACTTTAATAAATTTCTTCTATTTGTGAAAATTTCTACGTAATTCAAAGGTAATTTTTAATATATATCTTACACAGCATTATTAATATGATTTTGGAGGTTGCAGAACGTATTAAACTACTTTAAAAAATGAAAAATAATTATATCATTTAATTTTAAGATTTATTTTATATCTTAAAAATAATTAATTATGTGCCAGGATCCCGGGAAACAGTTCACTTTAATCTCGGAATCCCAGGACAAGCAAAAGACTGGGAAATGAGAAACCCTAGTCTGGTGTGAAAAATATGTATTAATTATATCAGTTTTGATAATATAAAAAAAAAAAAATATTCATACTGGACCTATATTTATGGGACATTAAAAAAATTGAAAAACTTATACAGTAAGTTATTTATTCTATTTTAAGTAATAAAGATTTGTTGGAATGTAATTTATGTAATAATTATGTTAACATTTAATTACTACTTCATTTCTTTGAACAGATATTTTTTTAAAAGCTTAATTTCATTAGGTGGACCTATATTTATGGGACGTACCTTACTTGACAGAATTTATTATAAATCATTTGCAATAATAATGAAGTATTTCGAAATAATTTTTGTTTTTTTTTTTTCATTTACTGAATTCACTCAAATTTCATTTCCAAAAATATTTAATTTGGGCAGGAATCAGTACAGGTATACCTCGACTTACGTCGTTTCGAGTTACGTCGTTCCCGATTATACGTCGTTTGTCAAAAAAGTATATGGAAAAATAAAAATCAAATTTAAGTCATTTTATTCGACTTTACGTCCGTCCACCACAAATATTGAAGTCGTAATATCACTAGAAAAGCGTTTAAAGCACATAAAATCATATTAAAATATATACATTTACAAGTATGTACTGTATTTACAGTACAGTACATGCATTCGTAAATTTAGATTACTTTTTTCCTGTACTCTATTAAAAACTAAAATCTATTTGTTTGTAAGCTTAAAATAGATTCTTATTAACCATATATTATTAAAAATGCATTAATAAATAAAATACAGAACTGGGAATAGTAATTTATGGTTTAGCCTAGTGACAAGTAGATTCGGAGACAAGTAAATTCGACTTACGTCGTTTTTCGACTTAAGTCGTTTTCCTGGAACCAATTACCGACGTAAGGCGAGGTATACCTGTATAGTATGATTAAAAAACCAAATTTTAAAATTGGTTTTATTAATTTGTTAGAAATTTGATTAAGCAATTATTATTCAAGTTTATCATTTACATTATGTTTCACAACAAACAAGAGGAATAAAAGTTGAAAATTTAATAGACATAAGGTAAAGTTTTCTGATAAGTGATCTTCAGGATATTCTGTAATTCAGGGTTAAAATGAGGTTGACTAGTAATGGCAAGGGAAATACTTTTGCACAAATTAGAATATAAAAAAATTATAATTACTAAAGAAATATATATTTTTTTTAATTATCGATTTGTGCAAATTTCCTTATTTATACTGCTAAAATTGTGTTAAGAACAAATATAAATTAATAAATGAATGGAAAAAATATTTAGTTAGTTAAAAATTTACACATTCAAATTGAGACAAAAGAAGATACAGGTATCCGTTGATTAATACAATTAATCCATCTCTCAATGTTGCTGCTTATATCAAAATTGCATTAATGAATTGTAATAATGAAAAATTGTAATTTGTCCATGATTGTTTACTATATTAATAAATTTGCTTCTATGGTCTGTAATCTTAGGAAAAATAGAAAATGAATGCGAAGTATAATAAATGCTTAATAAATTCTTATTTCTGTATTAGTTACTATACCTAGAGAAAAATTTAAAGTGTTTTCTTATCAGCATAAATTCTATAACAAGGAAAATGGCGAGACCTTGGCAAACTAACATGCTCCAATCAATGGACTAAAATTTACATTTGTAAATACAATAAAACAATTGAAGCTTTTACTACACCCATTTTTAATGCTGGCAGCAAAGTAACTGACAGGCTTGCAGGCACTTGGAATGTGGCTATGTGGGAGGAATGATGTCATGTTTACGACTTTCAGCCAGAAAGCACTCAACAGATTTCATGATGTTTTTGCATGGTAAATTTATAGTGCTAACACTATGCCAAAATAGCCAATCTTAATAACCACTTATTAGTTCATTATGAAAAATTAATTTAAATTTAATTATTTTCAAGAAAAAAATTAAATACAATAAAATGCAAAAAATTATTTGATGAATGACAAAATAAATTAATCCATAAAATAGTTTCTCCCAATCCGGCTACAATGGCAATAGTTAATTTCCTACTGATGGTTGACTAAAATCGATAAATAATAAGCTGAAACAATCCTTAATTACATTTTGCAGTTTTCTCTTCCTCTCTTGGTTTGTTGAAGTTAGATTCTGATCTGTTTTACTTTTTTCATTGTTTTTCTATTGACTGTTTTAAGACCCAATTATGTTATAAAAGCTATAATAAATAGTCATAAATAACTTGAAACCAACAGGAGGACAGTGAAAAATTTAGTCAAATTAGTCAAAAACAACTGCTATCCAAAGTAAAACATCTAAGATATAAAAAATATTGCTTTAAATATAAATTATGGTACCCAAAATGAAAGTCAAATTTTTTCTTGGGAGCTTCTCTAGTAAAGATAAACTTGGCATTTCAAAGCAATACCATAAATGTTTACTTTCCAGGCACAATCCTGCAACTAATAAATGTTCAGTGGATTTATCCATCTGGCCACTGATGGGGCTTAAATTAATAAAAGCTATTTTCTGA